GCTTATTAATGCTTCTAAGGCATAAAGAATGTTTATGCAAATGATTTAGAGGAGCAGTAACCTTTGTTGTGCAGTACATCTTTTCATCATCGAACAAGTTGCATTATTTTCCTAGGTTCACACTAACCTAGGAAAATAATGCAACTTGTGTGCAAGAAAACAGGAAAAAAAAAACAAAAAAAACAAATTCTTGTGACACAAAAGATGAATGCCTTCTTGCGAACCAAACTTTACGACAGCAAATGAACAAAACGGCACCCACAACTGCTGCTGACGGACGACTGACCGCAACGGCTGTTGTCGCCCAAGAAAAGACGCCAAACGACTCGCGCATCTTCTTATAGTCCTCGGTCGAGTCCATTATGGTACTCCAAGGTGTGTCCGGCGACAACACACACATGCAGTTTGAGGACGTTTCCGCGCATGCTTGTTACAACTTTTTCGATGATAAAGTGATGTACATGTAAGAACTTTGTGTGTGGTTTTAATGTACAATAATATAATATTTGTTCAGTCTAATATGTCTTATTTTCTGTAATATATTGGATAATATAAGTGTAAAGGTAACTACAGAGATGTTATTTCATGTCTAGAGAGCTCTTATAATGTCAAAAACCATATTTAGAAGCTTGTAAATGGGTTTTCTATGCACTATGAAAATATTTGATTCATAAATAAAGAATCCTACTTTGTGGAAATTCACTTATTGAGGTAGGGTCTGGATCTGATTAACCACAATAAACAAGGGATGATTGTACTAGGCTGTCAACAAGTCCACTGAAGAATAGAGCTATGAGGACCTCTGATGACCAAGTCAGGAATGGGGGCTGGCTGGGAGTAAAATGGCTTTATTATTTTGGGGACTCTAGTCAAAAAAGCCATCTAGGTAATTTAAACCCACAGGGGATGGAGAGAGGCAGTGTAAAAGCTGAAATAAAGACACTATACTATTGTTTTAAAAATCCAGGTTATGGACATCTGCTGGCCATAACCTGGGGGAAAAAAAATCAGTTGTGAGATAAAATTCAAGGTTTTCTGGAAATAAAGACAAGATTTTTTTTTTTTTTTTAAATCACTTGTTCAAAAAGGAAGGGAAGGTGCAAATCATTGGAGCGGTGAAATTTCTTTAGATTTTCTCTCCAAAATTGGGCATGCAATTAATTTCCCAGAGTTTAACAAAGAAAGAACTCTCTGAGGAAATTAGGGGAATCACCAAAATCTCAACCCGAATCAGACCCCATGCCAGTTTTGGACAGAAGTCCATATAAAGAGAGAGAGAGAAGCCACCAGATGTCTTGTGAGAGATGACCACTTCACTGAACTCACGTGACTGCTGCTGAAGAAGACCTCTGACTTTGTGCTGTGTTCCAGAAGCCTTGTCTAGACTTAGTCATGATGACCAGTGTCATGAAATATTCAAAGAAGGGAAGGGTTGAATAACTTTGCATGATAAATATATTCCTGCATGAAGAACATATATTTCTACCTGAAGAACTGATATTGTACTACCAGCTCTGTTCAAGAAACGATATATAAAACATTTTCTTTATTACAATTTATCCTATGACTTGTGACTTCACTTTGTCTGGGCCAGACCATTTCAATGATTCCTGTCGACAATTTGACCCTCACCAGCCTTGTGATCTAAATCAAACACAACATAGGACAAGATAAATCTTGGATTGAAATGATCCATTCAATGACCAGCCATGGGGACTGAACAGCGAACTGACTGGCTGGGCGAACATCCCAACATCATAATTGGTGCCGGTGACCATCGAATTCCCCCATGATTGACAACATAATGGTTTTTATTGATTCAACAACCATTGATTAGAATTCTACATAAAAAAAATGTTGAAAATACAGGGAGGATTAACTTCTAAATTTTTCATGTTCAATGTACCTAGACACATAATGTTGCATCAAATGCCAAAAAGTTAAATTTAAAGGTAAGAATCCTGTTACCATCAACATTTTTAACTGTAACTGATATTTGTCATATTTTGTTCCCCCATTATGCATTTATTAAACCATTAGTCTGAAGAATCCCTTTCAAAGAATGAAATGTTTAATGTAGAAAATTTCTATTTTGTCATTTTAGTTACTCACTATTAGTCTGATATAAATCTGCATATCATATCTTTTACAATTACGTATGTATATATACTATAATAGAATTTTACTCTCCCATTTGCATTTCCCCCATTATGCGTATTATTATATCTGTGACATAATGACAGTACTTCATGGATGAAATTGAATAGCTGAACAGAACATGCTTTATCAAACTACAATATAGAAAATAAAATGTGCTATAATATTTAAGCCATATATGGTCAATAGTAAGATTTCCTTTGTATTAGTATCATATACAAGATCATATGAAAAAAAAATGTCCTGAAAAATAAGAAAACTAGTTAAGATAAGAAATGCTTAGGCCATCTAATATGGTGTCTAGACTTGGTCACTGTTTGCTTTGGTAAATCTGGTGCTACTGGAGATAGAGGAGTGATTGGAGTATCCTTATCCAGCCATGTAGCATCCAGAAAAGCTGGCTTCAGCCCGACCAAACAAATAATTTGGTTTGCATTATTACTGTGCACAGTAAAAAAAATTAACTGTCTCTTCAGGATCTTGAATGTTCCTCTGTATGACTGGCTGCAACACATTTGTTTAGGCTGAGTCACACACAAAAATGTGTGTGCATGATTGCAGGAGATTAGATATGTATATAGGTTTTTTGCTCTGTGTAAGTAGTTTGTACTTAAAATTGCAACCATATTGAAAATATTTGTTTTGGTGCAAAAATATGAAAAAAAAATTTCTATCCTGAAAACATATGTACAATGGTGTAAATACTGTTAATATCTAGTGTTCAAGTAACTACAAAAATGTATATAGCTGAAATTGCCATTACCATGCTGAAGAGCAACATATAAAAAAGTGTATCTGATATACTTGACTTATTTAATAATAGAAAGTGTACATGTGGAAATATTAGAAATGTGACAAGATATGCTATTAAAATTAGCAAAAAATAACATGTAAAATCTGTTAGTCAACTAGGAAAAATTGTATTTAACATTGCTATAGTTATATAAAAGTTAAAATAGAGGCAAAAAGAAGCCAACTGAGGTGGAAAGAATTGTCTTTTACAACCTCTGAATAAATATATGTATGAAGAAAAAAATCAACCAGTAAAAGTTACTAGATAGACTGAGACATATTTAGCCCCAAGAAATGATAATTATTTAGCATGACAAACATAATGTCTTTCAATTACTAAAACCTGTGAGAATAATATTATCCTTTCTGCTCTGACATTTATTGTGTTGAAACTATTGCATTAATTGACACATAGGGAAAGTTGCTAATTAATATTTTGTTCTTTTTAACATTGTGGACAACAATTTATATGGTTTTTATGACAGAAAAGAGTGATAAAAATTCTCATGTATTATCACATGGACATTTTTTAAATGTGTCAACATGATTCATTTCACGTAGAAGACATTCTGTTTTATGCTGTTATTGTACTGAGCAAGAAATGAACATTTCATATTTGAATCATGTTCAGCAGTTAATAGATGATAATATTGTGTCTCGATCACCAATATAATCAGAGTGAGCAATGGAAGAAAGGTTTATTCTCCCATTTACGTTTCCCTCATTATGGGCATTTTTATGTCTGTGATATATTAACGCCATATTTCATGGATGGAAAAGGAATGACAAACATACTTTGTTCTCAGAGAGAGTTTTATAATGCTATGTTGTACACAAAATTATATATACATGTGTCCCACACAGAGAAATTATAACATATATGCATCAAGTGTGTTAGAAAGGGGGAATTTTACTTGTAATATTTCCCTGAAGGGAAAACTTGAGTTACAGCGGTTTCTCTATGAACCTGGTGAGGCCAGGTGGTTTTTCCTGTAAGATGTACTGCTGTGAGCTAGACATATTTCTACATTGCAACTGGCCTTCATCACTCTATCCCCTGATATCACATGACTCTTATGACTATCTCAATGAAAGGGAGACAATCGCCTTTTGTATCAATACAATTTAATTTTCTAAAGAGAAGAAAAATTTTAACATGGTATTAAAACAAATGGCTATAATTTGTCAATAGTGAAAGATGAACAGAAGACAAATAATAAAAATAGGGGTGACATTAATTATTATTAACGAATACAAGTTTTATTTTTCCCTGCCTAAAATTCGTTTTTTTTTTTTTTTTTTGATATTTCAGTTTGTTCATAAATGTTACCAAGTATTATTTTCTGTTACAATTTGAAGTGAAAAAAAAATAGACTGGTTTTATTATTCCCTACATGACTTTGTGTAAAATGCTTTCAGTAGGAAAAATAAATCAATCCTTATTTTTTTCTTTCTATAAATAATCAAGAGAACAATAAATTAGCATTAGTTCATTCTGATGTGAATAATTTAAAAAAAAATTTTTAATTTTTTTAAAAAAGAAATAACATATCAGTTGATTCTGGTTAGTCTTAAGACAGCTTATCACATTTACAATAGAAATCTAAAGTAGGAGGTTAAAAATATTACTGCTATTTCATATCAACTGATTTGTCTCAGACGGGAAACGTATAATTTGTGATGATATGTTCAAATTATTGATGCAACTGAAAGTAGTTTTCCAGTTTATGAATGGCTCACTTTCCTTTTGCTTTGTGAAGTTTTTTATTCATAGGGTCCAATTTAATTTTTTTTTTTTTTTTTTTTTTTTTTTTATAATACTTTTGATAACCTAATTTTTAAGCAGTTTAGCAGTTTTTAATCTTACAATAAAATATTTTTATAACAATTATTTTTCAAATGTAATAACCTGGAATTGAAAGACAAATAATTGATTTAGAAACTTGGATTCCCTGCTATGTAAAGTTTAAACTTCAAGCATGCTAAGAATATTTGAACTCTGTTCAACATTTTATTGTTTCTAATGCCCTTTTTTCCCTTTTTGTTTTCAGTTGGGCCTTGTTGGTATTTTAATCTTAGGAGCAATAGCAACTCACTGTATGCATATGTTGGTCAATTGTAGCCATAAGTTGTGTGAACGGTAAGTCAAGAAGTTGAACTCAAATATATCTTTTTCTTGAGTATTCTGCTTTCTGCACCATTAATATGTTGAGATTAATATGAAGCTGAAATTAAATGTTACATGTTAAGTGACTAGTTGGAAATTTTGGGGCTCTTTATTCATAAATACTGTCCATTGAGTTCTTATGATGCATATTAAGATAGTTTCATTACATTAGTCAAAGACCAGCATATATTATCAATTCCTTTTTCTTTTCTGTCTGGTTATGTTAAACTTTCCATATGATTCTTCTGTTTATTGAATATCAAGGATGTAAGGTCACATGATACTTGCAAATTTCATACCGCAGGATGAAAACTTATTTTATTTTGTAGGACATCTTCAGTGGCCTTGGACTATCCAGATGTTGTTGAATGCTGTCTAAGGACAGGTCCCCAAAGACTTCGTTCAACTGCTACTATCTTCAGGTACTTAAAAGAATTTTTTTTAATTTATATTTTTTGCTTCATAAAAATTCATTTTTCACTTGTGTGTGTATTAAAAAAAATAGCTACATTTTATCAAAATCAGCCAGTTTCTTTGGACGAATATTCAAAATCTTTACAAGGGAGTGAAATTGAATTGCTGCTTTCGTAGGAATTTAAGGTGCCTCCTAAGAATGTGTTGTTCTTGTAAAGGATTTCCTCTACAATTTTTTGAATAATTTGCTAAGTAATTGCAAGTTTGGATTCTGTCAGTGGGATATGATTGAAGAGTGTCCACTTCTATTCATATCCCACTTACATTGGAATAAAGTTTTATTTTGTAGAAGAAAGATTTAAGTAGATTATATCATGTTGTGAAAGTTGATATTCTGAAAGTAGGCTTTTCAAAATTTCTTTTATTTAAGTCCTATACTACACCACAATTTCTAACACCATCAGTCATATGTAAAAGGATTGATGGTGAACTGTCCATGCTTCTTTATTTTGTGTCTTGCAGAATTGGAAGCAAAGCCAGCATGAAGATAAAAAAGTGTTTTACTTTTATTTGAATCTTCTCCGATTGTGAATGTGTATGGAAAATGAAAGAGAAATATCAAATTTTATGGGCATTTTCAAGGTACTATATTCTGTAAATATTGTGAGTGGATAGAAGAAAATGTAGTTTAGTCATCAATAGGGACTTGTAATCTATATAATCTTCTTCTAAATGAAATGAGAATAGATATAAATTCAAATGTTCATACATTAATTTAAAAATAGGGCTCGATACAATAGTAGAGCAATAATTCTTTATTATAAGATATTACATTCGAACATATGTAACCGCTACATCAATGCATCCATGTTTTGATGCCCATCAATAGCATCTCATAGCATCTCATCAGTATGACTTACTACTGCCTGATGAGATGCTACTGATGGGCATCAAAACATGGATGCATTGATGTAGTGGTTACATATGTTCGAATGTAATATCCTATAATAAAGAATTATCTTCTTCTTTATGATAAATGTGAAAATGTCTGTGTGCCACACTTTTTTCAATTAAAGGGACACAACTCTCTAACTTTTAAATATCTCATCTTCTTCAAATGAGAATTGTTCATCCAGGATTGGAATTGAATCCTCAGATTGCAAATTTAGCTCTCTGTGAAATTAAAAACAAAGTGATGAACTTGGCTCAAAGTGATCACAGCAATTTTGGTCTGCGAAACTGGACAAATCAACAGAAAAATTTTGAGAGAAACAAGATACAACATGGAAGAACTACAGCAATGTGTTGAAGACAATAAACCTCTGTTGAACCAAGACCAACAGCAAGTGTATCAGAAGGTCCTTGATTACATCAGCAACAACAATGAGGAAATTTTCTTTTTGGATGCACATGGAGGTACTGGTAAAACTTTTGTAACTAACCATCTTTTATCTGCAGTGAGACTCCAAAGAAAAGTAGCCCTAGCAATAGCATCATCTGGAATTGCTGCTATTCTTTTGCATGGAGGGCATACAGCACACAGTACCTTCAAAGTTCCATTGGATTTGAACTACAATGAAACCCCTATTTGCAACATCAAAAGAGGAACCAACTTGGCTAAGCTACTGGAGGAGACAAGCTTCATTGTTTGGGAGGAATTTACCATGGTAAACAAGCGAGAATTTGAGGCCCTGGACAAAACACTCAGACATTAGACATAATTCACAAATCATGGAAAGTATTACTGTGCTACTCTCTGATGATTTTTAGACAAACATTATCAGTGCAAGAGAAACTCCAGCTGATGAAATCAATTCTTGCCTGAAAAATTCTTATCTGGTGCCATATTAAAAGACTTAGCCTGAAAACAAACATGAGAGTTAGAATCACAGGTGACCTTGAAGCAAGAAGACTTGCTGCTTTGCTGTTGCAGCTTGTAAATAGAACCATCAAAATGGGCCACAATGGAAATATTTCACTCTCAAATGATAGTTTGAGTTTCGGTCTCAAGTATCCAAGACTTGATTTATCATGTTTATTCCAACATTAAACACCATTTCATGGATTCAAACTGGCTTTGTGAGAAGGCTCCCAAGAATTAAACTAAAGAAAGCATAAAGTACTTTTCCATTGACACTGTTGTTGTTGAACAAAAACAAGCAGTGAATTATCCAATAGAGTTCCTAAACTCATTGAATCCCCCTGGAATGCCATCACACAAGCTGGAACTAAAAAAAAAAAATAAAAGGTGCCAGTTATGCTATTGCGAAATCTGGATTCTCCAAAGATTTGTAATGGAACAAGGCTAATTGTCAAGAAGATACTTCCTCATCTCTTGGAACCAAAGATCCTTACTGGTCCAGAAAATAAGGAAAGAGTTTTAATTCCAAGAATCTCCTTAAGTCTTCCAGATTTTCCTTATGAGTTCAAAAGACTTCACTTTCCAGTGAGAGTGAGCTATGCAATGTCAATTAATAAGTCCCGAGAACAATCATTGAAAGTAACTGGACTTCATCTGATAGAACCTTGCTTATCTCTATGTTGGTTGTTCAAGGGTTGGGAATGGAAATGAGCTATTTGTACTGACCCCGAATGGGAAAACCAAAAATGTTGTTTATCATGCAATAAGTTCCAAACATGCAAATTATATCATTGTTTTGATGAAAACTGTTGTTTAAAAAATATTGTTCAAGTTTAATAAATTTAATATATACTCAATACGTGTCATTATTGGGCTGAAGACCCAATTAAGAGCCCACCCCAGGAGCTGCTTAAATGCCACCCGATAGGGTGCCTTCCAAGCTAGTGTAAAATAAAGTAAACTGTCACAAGTTCACACATTCGCACACTCAAATAATCGTAAATCCACTCTACCAGTATTTGGCTTTCTCACTTCCCTCTTGTTCACTGCCACTGATTTTTATATTCATTTGAAGGCAGGTACACTAATCCATAGGCAGCGCATCTGGGTTATTCCATTAACTGTTTTCTGTTATAAACGACACAATGAGTCTATCCTGGTTTTATTTTGTAGTATAGAACCAATGGCATTGGCAGGTGCACACCTTCAGCCTTTTTCAAGTGGTTTTCTTCTGCACATACTTGTAAGATCTTTTGTGTCTCAATGTCTTTTAGACAGAGTTAGTTGTAGCTCTTTACCCAACTCAGCACCGGCATCAATTCAGTTTAGTCACTCTGCAAGATGACCTTTTAACAACAGGTCACAGCAATACAGATTCCTCCAACCAGCAAGTAGTAACTGTCTGAATCACAAAGATCTTGTAGTAATTGTAAGAGTAAACAGAGCTCAGGATGACAGTAAAAGTGCTAAGCTTTATTCAACTAAACAAAACTCAGCTACAAAAGGAAAATAGGAGTTACAAGTTAAATAGCTAACTTGGGCAAGTCCTTGTTTGTACATAGTAAACATAGGATACTACTACTACATTCTTCGTTCCTAGAAAAATGTAGCATTACCATCCATAACAATCTGGGGGTTTTGTCATCCGTTTGGATCTCCTGACCTGTTGGACCCCAGCATCATCTCCTTTATGTGGTATGTCCTCCTCTGGCGTGGGGACACATGTTGAATCCACCAGGAATGGCACCAAGTGCTGAAAAAACGAAACATGCTCCTCCTGGTTGTTGGGTGCATAAACCAATCCAAAACAAACTACTTTTCATGGCAATATTGGTCATGATCAACTGGCCCTAGGCATCCATATAAACAAGGCCCACCCTTGTGTCCAGGGTACGTCTAACCAGCAAAGAAACACCTCTGGCCCATTGGTTCCCATATGCTGAATAGATGACAGTCGTTAGACAGCACACAAGCATTGACATTGCAAACAAATTGAGTTTCCTGGATCACGACAATATCCACACTGACAAGAGGTCATGAAGCAGGGGGTTAGCCTTACTTCGATCCCTCAAACCATTTGCATTCAAACTAGCTATCTTGATAGACATTCTTTAGATCTGGAATGAGAAAAAAGAAAATTTGTTAACCTACTCACTTACCGGGCGGAAGTCTGCAGGGGTAAAGAACCTGATGGATTGTCCCAGGCTCCCTGTGCCCACCTGTCGTCATCCGACCATCTAGGACAATCCTGCTAATGTCTGTAGGAGATGTTAATTTGACTGTATTATATAATGAGGAATGGAGTAATATGGGGACCCTCCCTGAACCAAATATAATTTTTTGAGTTCAGGTGAACCCATTTCGAACACTTGGATGTTTGGGAATATGTCCTTGTAATCATACAGGTGGAACCAAACCTTCAAGTATCTCCCCTCACCATGTCCTTGATGTAAGTTATGATTCCAGGAACTTGAGGAAAGTTATGGGGGTCCTCCACTGATTTCAGAGGAGGACTGTTTGAATAGCGGGCCTAGAAGGGTTTTTTTTTTTTTAAAATTTTTTATGAATAGACAAGCCCTTCTCCAGTTCCTTCAATCAACCTTACAAATCTCATCTGGGCTGGAGAAATATTTTCTTCTTCTCCTTTTCCTTAGCTGGATGGGGCGGAGAAGAAGTGGACGTGAGAGGCGGGGGTAGATATTGAACTAAGAGAGGAGGTGGAGGGAGAGGGGGGGTCAGAGCATGGGAAGGGAAGGAAGGGAGGCTCCTAGCTATTTGCACAACAACAGTTTATTGGGGGATGCAGGGACAGACAGGGACTTGGTTTTTTTTCCATGTACCTATACACCCTACTTTGCCTGGAGTGTGCTTTGACTTTGTATGCCTTCATCTTCTTCCTCCCTCCTCTTTAAAGATGAGACACAAGGTGGAGGCATTTCCTCCATCTCTGATGGGTTGATGCTGCTACTTTTTTGTTCTTTTTGCTGATGTTGCTACTTTTTTGGGGGCTGTTTTTCCTTTTGGACCTCCTTTGCCTGCTTCTGTGAACTCTGCTGTACACCTCCTTTAGCTGCTCCTGTGCCCCCTTTGGCTGCTACTGCTGCTTTTTTGGTGACTGCCTATCCCTCTTTTGGGGAGAGGGCACATTTGTTGATTTCTGTCCCTTCACTTCCTTCCAATCACCATCAGGGGCCTTCTCTGTTGAAGCTACTGCTACTACTACTACTGTTGTTGTTATTATTGGGTGGGAGGAGGTTGAAAATTTTTAGCAGGGTATGCCTTGGACATGACCAAGAGTAGAGTCTGTATCCCTCCACCACAACCAGCATCCACTTTTCTCAACACATCAATATGTTTGGGATTTCCCCAAAAGCTTGCCAGGTTAGTGTTACATATAACACCATGTCTCCCATGGTGATTCCTGATTTGTTAATGTATGCATTTATCTCTTCCACTTGTCCAAACTTTAAAAAGAAAGCCCCCATGCAGTCTTCACAAATGTCCATGGGCACCTCATGGACTGTGATCTTTGTCCACCGGATGCCCATGTACTCTGTCTGGAGTCGTATCGATGTAGTTGACAGAACACTTCTGACCAGCTGTTTGCTTCCACCTCTTTGCCTAGGAGAATGTCTCACATTGGATTGCTCCTTCTAGTTAACACTTTTGGCTCCTCTGCTGACCCCAATCAATTTTCGACTTTTTATGTCGGTGGTCAGCAGGGATATTATTCTTGAATTCACTGAATCAAGGGCCTCAGGAATCGTAAAATTTTGTGTTTGCACTGCTGGTGTACTCAAATTTTTCACCATGGTGACCCAAAACCACCACAACTAAACAAATAAACACTTGCTTATATATGCTAATTGTTTATGAAAGAATTAATTAAATAAAAAGAAAATGTCTCATGACCAAGGAAGACAAAATCAAATCAAACAAGAACATGGAAAATTAAAGCATGTAAGAACTAAAAAAAACAAAAAAAAACAACAATTAAAATAAATACAAAAAAGGAAATAAAAGTGAAATGAAAACAACTCAACAAGGTGACAAACTAAAGAAGGAAAAAGTGAACAAATGAAAATAGGCACACACAAATAGAAAAGAAAACTGAGAAATTAAAAAATTCAACAAAATTAAAGTAATAAACTTAACAGTTTGTAAGCAATGCAAACTTAGGCTGGACTGAAAGAAAAATTCCAATGTAGCAACACACTGAACTAAACAGAACTCAGCTGCAAAAGGAAAATAGATAGGAGTTACAAGTTAAATAGCCAACTGGGAAGTCCATTGCTTGTACATAGTGAACATAGGATACTACTACCACAGACCTATCAAGATTCTAAACAAGAAATGTATTATTATCCAGTAAAATGTTACCTCTGATGCATTACCTGCTCTGATTCATATCTCACTTCACCTCTTTCTTTGAGATGTTTAGGACTTTTCTATTGTTTCAAAATTTTAACCCTTAAATTAAGAATTCTGAAATATTTTATGTATTTCTATTCCAGCCATGTCAACCTAATTTAGCTTGAGTAATATAACCTGTTAGATATTGTCCCCTGAAATTAATACAATTCATTTTTCTTCTTTAATATAACATTTCCTATTGTTTACAATTTTTCCTTTGAATTAAAAGTTCCATTATTTGTTTTTCTTTATTATTTTTTTTATATATATTTTTATATATATTTGGCCTTTTCCAACATTCAATCAAGGTGACATGAGCCCTAGGTTAATCATTGTTTTCTAAGATTCCTGAAACCCAACATAACCTAATTCATGTAGATTGAACACCATACAGTGAAAATTTAATATCAGAATTTTACTCATGTCAAAATATGGACTTATTGACCCACCCACATAGTTAAATTATGATGGGTACTTAATTTTGTATGATTAGTTCATTTGTCTTGCAGATCACTTTGTTAATATGGTATACTTAATTCTTTCTGGACATCTCTACTATAGCTTTGTCACATCTAACATTAATAAATTCTTAAGATTGTTATCAATTGCAATTTGTAATTCATTTAATTACAGTTATTTAAATGTTATTTCTTTGCTACTGTTTTTTTCTGTAAAAATTAAATGTTAAAGTTTTGAGTTTTACTTTTTTTAATTTTTTTATTATAAAAATCTAAATATTTTAACTGACAATGTTAAAATTGTTTAAATGTTTATTTTTATTGCAGAAAAGTTATTTATGTTTTTATAACATTTACACAATTTGGTTTTTGCTGTGTGTATATCGTATTTGTGGCCCAGAATATTAAACAGGTAAGCTTCAAGTTATTGCATAATACTAACTGAAATTAGGACAAGTTTTAAAACTGTTAAACTTGAAATTTGTTTTCTATATTTCAAAGTTATTTATGGGACTCTGTTCTTCTTTCAGCCAATTGACTATTTTCATACCAAGATTGATATTAAAGTATATATTGCGATAACTGCGGCTCTCTTGATCCCTTACTGTTTTATTAGCAACCTCAAGACTTTGTCAATCTTCTCTCTGTTGGCCAACCTTCTCACAGTTTGTGGCCTTGTCATCACCTTCCAATATATTGTCCAGAAGTTGCCTCCGATTGATTCAGTGGCAGCTTTCAAGCCTCTATCCAATTTACCTTCCTTCTTTGGCACTGCCATTTATTCTTTTGAAGGAATCAGTCTGGTAAGTTTTCAGTTTTTTCATTTGAAGCCACCAAATAATTCTTGTCTAAAATCAAATGTTCTTATATGTCTTCCCAATAAAAGTAATAGCAATATTCTAATCTTGATTATTATAGATGTTATAGATACAATGTTTGGTCAAGGTGTCCATTGTTTGGCTGATAAAGGAATACCTGTTTGTTATTTAAAGAAAAAAAACAAAATAAAAAAAGTATATTTACAATTATTCATCTCAAAAATGAAATACAAAATTATGAAAAGTGACATGAACCTGCCATGATAACCAAATATCAAACCACTTCACAAAATACACTGACGTTCTTTGGGACAGCTATAGGAGTTGGTTAAACATGTTACCATCATTTACTGATTGTGAGTTCAGTTCCTGGAGAAAGTAATAAAACACTGGTTCAGCAGTAATGAACAATAACTGGCATCACAGGGACAGAATAACACAATCAACAGATATCCCCTATCAGCCAAACAATGGATATCTGATAATGGCAAGATAGTACTTGGTTGAAATGTTGTCTATAATAATCAAGATATGAACAATACTTCAAATAAATTAAAAAGTATATTGAAAATTACTCATCTTAAAAATGAAAAGCAAAAACAAAAATGCCCTTTTTTATGCTTCAATATTTGTAAAGGATAAACATTTCACATCAGAAACTGTAGTTTTTACATTGGAAAGTTTGATAAAGCAAACATATCTTCCATATTTTAAAATTTATGTGAAACATTCTAAGATAAAAATGAATTCATTCATATATGTATGGCCCAATTTGGCAAGCAATCTTGAAATTAAAGTATTTTTTCAATAATTTTTCACCTTTGTATCCATACATAATCAGTTTTTCATTTGAAATTGTTAGCTGTTAAGTGCTTTGACAGTAAAATAATATGGGAATATTAAACATGAAAAACATTTATCAAACCTTTATTAAATCAGTTTTTATTCTAAAATAAAAAAAAAATTAAAAATAAAAAAAACAGCAAAACCTTTCTTTTTATTTCTCGTTACAATCTTTAAAATTTGAAATTTAGGTTTTGCCAATTGAAAACAAAATGCGGACACCACAGGATTTTGGAGGATGGACAGGTATATTAACCTTGGGCATGGTCATTGTTGTTTGTCTCTACACATCCATTGGTTTTTATGGTTACCTACAATTTGGTTGTCATGTGGCGGGAAGCATCACTTTAAATTTGCCTAGTCAATGGTAAGTAGTCGCTCTATAAATGGTGGTAATCATTGGTAATATTTTTTCTTTCTATACACATAATTGCAAGCAATTGCTGATCTGAGGAAGACATTCCAATTTAATCATAGTATCAAGTGAAATTGTTGTAAATGTTATTCTTTTGTCAGTCATTAATAATAATAATAATCAGCTGTCAGATATCGGACTATATAAAATTTAAAAATGTAGCACCAAGCAAACTCGTTGCTTCAACAAGATTCGCTGAATTCAGCAAAATGTGATTGTAGTATTTACATGGCTTATTTTGGTAATGTTCACCAGATCAATACTTACTGCTAAATATGATAGGAAAGTGTGAGGTTATTTATCAAATACTTGAACCCCTGTATGTTGACTAACATTGATTTATTTATTGCAGTAAAAACAATAAGAAATATAACACGCAGTAAACACAAAAGTTTGTGCCTTACGTGGATGTGTGTATGACTGTTATGATTGAGATTGTAAAGATGGTATTTCATTGAATATATCTGCAGAAGCTTTCTATCAAAGCATGTCTTTAATAAATTTGTACCATGCTGAAAATGCTCTTTCATTTCCAAAATGAGATTTTTGCAGAAAACAATTTTTGGTCTCGATTTCTTGTTTCATAAGTTCTCTCCCAGCAATTGCGTTTATATCTTCCATTTATTGATATTTTGTGCTGGTTTGCATTTTTCCTTGATTAAAACTATCATTTGTTGTACAGAGTTAGGGTTCAAATTTTGACTAAGGCTGCTTTTGATTACATTTATGTTTTAATAAAGCCATATGAATTCACTTGTGCTTGATCTCATCACCAAAAACAATGTAATGGCATGTGACAGAGATCAGAAAAAAATGGATGACTGAAGAGTTGTACCAACCATTCTCCTATAGATATCTTCTCTACCTAGGTAGCCAAGTAATAGTCTTGGATATGTAATAGGAAACTTCTAGTTTTTTTTAAATCTTGATTTTTGTGAGAAAATATTAACAACTTTTTGTGTAAAGACAATGTCAGTCTGTGCTTAAAATTCTTTCTTTCTATTTTGTTTCTCACAGGTTATATATTATGGTGAAACTTCTCTTAGCCATTGCAATCTTCATATCTTTTGGCATCCAATTTTATGTTCCACTAAACTTATTGAAACCAGTGATTGGGAGAATTGAATCTACGAAAATACAGAAAATTGTTAATTTTTTTATCAGAATTGGACTCATCCTTTTTCTATGTGAGTAACATTTCATTCAAAATATTTAGCATTTAAGTCTGATTTGTTCTATTTTAGAAGCAGGTGATTTATTCTTTTGGAAAAATCTGTCTTTCAAGAAATGAGAATTACCTTTCTTATTGTAAACATACAACGTGACTCTCTCCCAAGCTTTCCACCGACTGGTCAATGATTACCCGACATTCATTCTGATTCTCAATCTTGTCAGTGTGCACCAAAATGTGGAGAAGGATGTGCTGCATGCTCACAAGGTAACACAATGAAAAACAAATGTCACATCAAGAAATAAGAACCTTGTTTCCCATATTATGTTTTGGTGTTTTATTCTGGTCTGAATTTTATTTATTGCCTGCTTATCTGGGTGGGTAGGTAAAAGATGCTTGGGACAACTTCTGCTATGTCAGTTCTTCTCTCTACAAACTCTTTGCCCATTTAATAATACCTACATGGTGGTTGGCATTATGAACTAGAGGACCAGAACTCTCCCTGATCCTAAACAGGACCAGCACCAAGATATACCCTACTTCCTGTTTTGCTGCTGTTTGATCACCAAAAATCTCTCATTCACTCCTTTGCTTCCCATTCCACTTTGGTTAAAGTGGCTGCCAAACTGAACTTCAAAGGGAACCATCAGTTGGTTTATCAAATAGAAACACATGAGACTGAAATACAACCACCACTTTCTTTTCTATGTAGGTGTCCATAGTATCACATGCCTCCCCACACCATCATATAAAATCTTTTATAAATTACAAACAAAAAAGACCAGTTAATCCCTGAAAATAAAATCGGAGTCCATCATATTTTAACACTTTGGGATATTGTGAAAATTGTTTTCTTCATTCTCTGATACTTTCACACATTTGGTTGGAACAATCTCCTTAAATACATTTTAAAAGCTAATGCCAAGCTCTGTAAGAGAAGAAAGTATACAGCATAATTCCCATAATGAAAAAGACAAACAAACTTAAGGTTAAAACTGTAAATAATCTAAAAGCATTAGCCCTAAGCCAAAGGAAAAAGAAAGCTTTTATCTTACTTATTATAAAACGCAGATTGTGTGTGTGTGTGTGTCTGTACGTTTATATATTGGATCGGATTTCCTACATTTTTCAACTGATTTCAACAAAGCTTCACAGGACTACGTAAAATTACCTTGTGGTGGTTTTGACAGTGCCAAAAATTGGAAAAACACAATTGCTTTTGCACGAAATCAATTTGAAAACACGATTAAGAGGCATTGCTGTTTCGAGAATGAAAGGGGGACAACTTATATCGAGTTATACTTATTATAAAACCCAGGTTGTTTGTGTGTGTTCGTTTATATATGGGATCGGATTTCCTACATTTTTCAACCGATTTCAACAAAACTTCACTTTTTTTTTCTTTTTTTGGCAGGTAGTGTTTCTTATTGTCTTGCACACTTTTTTCTTTATTTTTACATTCAGAATGCTTTAAAAATTCCATTTACAAGACAATTGTTTATAATAAAATTCTATTCAATCGATATACTCATAACGATTGAAAATAATGTTTTTGTTTGGGTTTGACCAATTCGTGAAAAAAACAAAAAAATTAAGACATGCGTGTCCATCAACCTTAAACAATCTTTGTCAATTTTATATTTCAGTCTTTATGCAAAGGAGATTAGGTAGCTGTCTTATCATACAGGCATACTATGATATAAGCGACCAGCCATTATATTATAATTGAGGTACAAAGTTATCACAGGATTCTAACAAATTGGACTTTGATTCTTGACAATAACTAAAGTCAGTTAAAATCTTGAAATATTAAATAAACTGAACAGTTCTTTCATTCTTTCAATACTAATAGATGGAACTTAATATCAATAAGGAAAAAAAATTAAAATATAAGTCACAGTTTGATATCCAACAAAACCTGTTTAAATGAACATTTGCTGACTAAATATGATAAACATAATAAATATATATTTTAATAAATATCTACAATTTCTCTCATGAGGGTTGGAGTTTAAGTGTTGAGGGAAAAAGAAAAAGGTTAGAATAAGAGGAATATATAATTTCATAGCAAGCTAATTTTTAATAATATAACAATTGTTGATTAAATTGTTCTCTTTTTGTTACTAGAACAAAAATCCTCAGATATATTGAGGCACCAAGACCAAAATATGTGAATTTTATGCAAAATGTTTAATATTTTGTATAGTTAGCCTTATTTTTCTCTCCTCTCATTCTAGAAGACATTTTTACAGTTAATGTTTGGTTTAACTTTGCTTTTATATTTATACTGAAATTTTAAATCCTAACAATCTGATGAATTTTTAAAAATTTCTTTTTTATGTTGATATCTTTTTAATTTCAGGTATCCTTGCTCTTTTCGTACCTTACTTAGAACTTCTGATCACTTTGATTGGGGCCTTTGCCAGCAGTGGATTAGCCCTTATCTTTCCACCACTCATTGAAATTGTCACATATTCAGCTGAAGGAGAAAAATTATCTTGGATTGTTTTTATGAAAGATATCTTTATCATCTTAATTGGTGTTCTTGGTTTTGTAACAGGTACTTACACTTCTATAGCGGATATCATCCATAAAGTACAACTCTAAGAAGCATTTTCTAATGAACAAAGAAATTTATTTTTTTAAATGTTTTTATGATGTGAAACTCAATGTCACTTTCTCTGTCCAATGTTTGGGGTTTAATGCTTTTTTTATATTAGGATTAAACCTAAAACAGTAAATAATTTGAAGAGGATGTTTCAGGATTTGATTAGTTGATTTGGTTACCATTTGGTTATTTTTGCTATTTTTAAGATTTCTTTTGTGAATGATTGTATTGTTTTAATGTGATCTGTATCAAGATGTAATTTTTATTTTCAATTTAGAAAAATATTTTTATACAAAAGAAAATACCATTAAAAAGAGATAAAAAAAAAATTTTTTTTTTTTTTTTTGATTGAATGAAAAAAGAATCAATTTTATACTTTTCATTCTAGAGACCATGAATTTTATTGTAAAGTAACTTTTAACCTTTAAAATATTGGACAAAAACAGCATTGTTTATAATGAATCCCTATTCTATAGCTTTTTCTCATGTATAATAATTGTGTTTAATATTACATAGACACTCTTAGCATTCACTCACTTCGTTACAGCAGTTCTCATTATTTTTTAGATCATTTTATTACAATAACTCTTTGAAGATGTTCATTCTTTAAGTTTTATCAATGTTGATAAATGCCAAGTGTGTCCATGTAATCCATAAAATGTGAAATACACTTTGTCTATTAAGAGCTAAACAGGAAAAGAAATCCATTTTATATTCATTTTTTTTCTGTTTAAGACTGAAGAACAGATTCTTTCAAAATCATTTTTTTATCATAAATATTTTCCACTTAAGATGAATTGCATGTTCTATTTTGAAGGTTACAATTTAACAATCAAAAAAGGCTGCAAAAATTGAGTTGCATGTCAAATAATTTCATTTATTTGTATAATTCAAAATGAAGTATTTTATTTGTCATAAAAGTATCATTTGATTTTAAACTCTTGTACATAATACATAACAAAGCCTAAAAGGAAAGATTAAAGATGCATATAACAAGAACCCAAATTTAACACAAGCTGAAATAAAATGAATCTCTCAGTGGCTTTGAAATCAATTCATATTGATATATTTGTGAAAATCTGGTTATTTATTAAATTATCTGGCTGTTAACTTGTGATTAAATTTAAATGACCAGATACAAAAGCACATATTCATGTATCGATTTGGAATCCATTTTGCTTAATTTACTTTTTTTTTAATATATGGCTTCAATTTTCTTTTAGCAACTGCTTTCTCTATTTTATTGGTGAAATACCAAATTCAATTTTGAGTCTAACAAAAAGTAAACTTGCTGTTATTGGTCTTTGTGTCTCAGATTTTAGGGAATATAAATGTATGCTTCTTGATTGCATACTGTTAAAAAAAATTTGGTCACAAAAATCTTAAGCAAGTCTTTCACATCTTAAATTATATTTACAATATTACAAGATTTTTTTTTTTTTTTTTTTTTTACACATTTTCATAACTAGGCAGAAGATTCAGAAAAAGATCATGTCTTCTTACATGATAATGGATAAATGTTGGTAGTTGATTGTAGCCCCTGAAGCTGGTTAGGATGATCCATAACTTTGGCTGTTCTTTATTTTCTAAGTCATATAGAACTTTTATCTTACATGATATAAATAAACTTATTTTTAGATAGACTATATCATAAAATGAGAGTTGCAGACTAATTCCTGTCTCTAGGGAGAATAATGTGATTGGATTTCGATAATTTTCCTCTTGAATAAAATGAGTTCCATTTGAAAATCTTCAGAAGGTGACTTGATGCTTCCTTCATTTGCTGAAGGCTTGTGAATTAACAGACCAAGAAAAAAGTTTTTTTTTTTGTTTTTTTTTGTTTTTTTTTTAAATAAATCATAATTTTTGGGTGGTTAAAGATTCTGTCAAGATATTAGATATTTCATGTCTTGCTATTCATCAGTTATTTTTTGTTTTCTCTGCCCCCATTCAAACTCTACTGGGCTTCCATTTTTTTTTTCTGTTTAAATCTTTTGATGATTTTTTTCAATGGAGCTTTCAAACTTTTACAATTTCTAGAATTTTCATATTTCTAAAAAAAAAAAAAAAAATTTGAATAGAAATTAGTGGTGGATTTTATTTGATCATCCTAATTTTGTCAAAGTGGCAATTTGTACAGAATCATTGACTATGACTTATAATGCATGACACTAAAATAATTTCTTTGTTAATGACTAAGCTGCCTGCTGTCATCCATCATCATTTGAAAATCTTTGTGCCAGCAAAATAAAGTTCTTAAAATTTGGAACATTTTGCAAAAAGTTTTTGAATTTGTGTTAAAAATTTTTTCAAATACTCATTTGGTTTATAACTATAAACTAAAAATAAGAGACATTAATTTTTTTTTTTTTTTTTTTTAGTTAGTATGAGATTTTGTGCTGTAGAAATCTTTAAAAAAAAAAAAAAAAAAATTAAAAAATATTTTAATTTATCTCAGTTGAAAATCCTTGCATTTACAAATTCAGTTGCACATATAGTTACAGCTAAACTTTAAGAATTAAAGGTACCCTCACCACAAAAATGTGATGCGTAAGATTTAAAAGGCAATTTAAAAAATGAAAAAATTCTTTTAAACTTTTACATTAGTTTTTATTCATAGCTAATAGATTAAATTTAATATTCCCAACCCAATAAGCAAAATAATTTGTATTTCAAACCAAATTTAAATTGATTGGAATTTTTATTTTGCTATCAGTAAAAACTATAAATTTGTCAATATTGGCAAATCTGTCAACACAGTATAATTCTCTTTATTAAAAAAAAAAAAAAAAATACTTTTCTGAAACTTTTAGAAAAATTAACTGACTTAAAGTTTAATCAATCTGAATTGAAACAAATGTTAGTTACTTTCAGTTAAAATATCACAGTGAAGCATTTTTTTTCTTTTTATGTGGTGAGTTATGTATTGATAGCCTGATGTTTAAGAAATTTGAATAAGGGGCACATAATAAAAATAAAGTTAACATGATAAATACAATGTCAATACTTTTTTTTTTTTAATTACCCAGTAATTTTTGCTTAAAATATTTTAAGCATTCTAATAATTTATTGAAGTTTAGGTACTTCAGTTTTATAGCCTTACTTATGAAGTCATTTGTTGAGAAAAATATTAGAACATTACCAATAAATTTACAATAAATGCTGCACTTATTTTCTGATAATGTATATGGACGTCTGTATTTACACAAATTGATGTTTATATACACAGACAAAAAAAATTTCATTTTAAAATACTGGACATTGTTGAATTGTAGTGAGCTTTCTTTTCTATTTATGATTAGTAAATAATTTTAATTGAATAAAAATATCATTTGACTACTACAAATTAATACATAATTTCATAGAATGTTTATAAATTATTCTAATTAAAATTTTAAAAAATGAAACCCATTTTTAGATCTATTCATTATTCATGGAAAAATTTTTTCTGAAGACATAACATTTTAATCATAAAAGCATTAGAAGTTTAATTAAATAATGTCTTAGTTTCATTTATTTTTATGATTTAGAGCAGATTTGGAGTCCTGTGTGACCAAAAGAATTTGATGATTTAAATTCTCTGAGGACTTACTTTTTGGTATCACTTAATGTCTATATTATAAACTCATTTCATAAAATTAAATGAGTAGTGGGGGTAACAGATGAAAAAAAAAAAAAATCTTCAATTTTCATTAAAATCCAATATGTGATTGTTTTGCAAAGATGTCCAAATCAATGTGTTTTTCAGTGCAAGAAGATGCTCAAATTTCTTGTACAAATTTATGATCTCATGTTGATGCCAGATAAACAAGATTTTTAACCAAAATTTCCATGGTTGGTTCTTAAAATTTTTTTTTTAAACATCAGAAAATCTTGATTTTTCCCTCATAAAAACATCAAAATTTTGGTGATAAAATTTTTTGTCTTGTGCTTTTTTTTTTTCTTCATGAACCCTATTTTTTTAAAGTTTTGAAGAAATCTATATTAAGTCAATACCTCTTAAACTGAGGAACAGGGTAAGTTAAAAAAAATATTTGAGTTAACCATTTGTGATATTATTAAATAGTTTCAGAAATTAAAAATAAGAATCTACAAAAAAGCCAATATCACTTTTTAGAGGATGAATTGCAGATTCTAGAAAAGATAACTTAATTTTGAAATAAATTTAATCAGTTTGCTGTTCTGAGTAAATGTAATGAAAATTTCAAACTTGTGATTTTTATTTGTTTGCATTTGATTACTGAGGTTGTGTGATGCTGAACAACATTTAGTTTAGTTAGCACTGAAGGTCAGTGCCTTTAAGATTGATTATTGCTTTTTTTTTTTTTTTTTACTGCACATTTAATTATAGTTACTATGAACTGGAAAAAGAACCAATGTTTTTAGCAATGCAAAGTCTTGCCTGACTGGAATTTGATTGAATTTAAGAGAATATTTTCTTTATCAATTTCATATTTTCTCAAGAGGACTTTTAAAATTGAGTTGTATTTTTTTTCATTCTAATCATTTCACCCCAAGCAAAGCAAGAAAACCACTGAGAAAATGTTATTGAGAAGAAAGGACAATAAAAGAGCAGGATTCAAAAAGACATGGTGATTGATATTGCATTTAAATTTTTTAAAGATCATAGTTGACAGGAAAGCAAGAAGCTGGAAGAGGGTTACAGAAGTGAGAAGAAGCTGTTAGCATAGATCTTATGGTTACATTGAGCATCAGTAAAATGAGGAGACCTAACTGCCAATCTAGTACTTAAATTTGTAAAGTTAATGTATGAAAGAAAAGTTCATCAGAATAATTACTATGAAAATTGTTTTGTAAAAGCTGAAAGAGCCATTATGTTATTGAATGGTCAGTTCTTGAGTACGAAAAGTGTTTTTCAGAATCCAGAAAAGATTGTTTCATGGCAAATACATTGTACATTAGAAACATGCTTCATTATTATTTAGTTTTCATGAGATTATTTGCAAGTCACTTTTATAAATGACAATACATTGAAACT